TATTGATTGGTATGTTTCTTTTATACAGTAAGTGTAAGACGTCTTCGACTTGGATGCAATCGACAGCCTTTGTCAAGTCTATAAAACATAGATATGCTGGTTTATGGTAGTCGATGGCCTTTTCTGTGATGGGTATCATTATGCTGTTTCTCCATGCGTCTGGTATCTTGCAGTGCAATATTAGTTTTTGTATAAGTTTTGTCCGTATAAGTAATCCATATATGGATTACAGATCACCGTTTAAAAAATAAAACTGAATAGGGCTTTTCATCAACCCCCATGTTTTTCGTACATACAGGTTTGGCAGTAACGTAAGTATAATATATATTATACGTCATTCGTACTGGTTTATAAAAAAATATTTATTAAATAAATATTTTTTATAAAGAAGTATCATTCTTTATAAAGAACTAAAGGGTTTAGAAAATTATAAAATAATATGTATTGTCTTTAAACGATTTAGAGCGTTTATCACTCTACATTCTAACTACATAGTTAGTGTTGATACTATCTATCCTAGTAGTATGTTGTTAACTACTCTAGTGTTGATACAAGCAAGCTATTTAGGGTGGCAGTGAATAAAATTAAGATATCTATGATGGTAACCAACATTCTGAAAGAACATGGTACATGAAGACGAAGAATATTTTTTCCTTAATTAGAACACTTTGTATATGAACGTATGACTATAGTTTAATTATTTTATCGTTTAAACAATATTTAAGATATCTTAAGCGCAGAATAATAAACAATCACAATTTCAACCTCACTTTTCGTCAATTATTTCTTGTATTAATATATCAATCTCCTGGAATATCGATCTTTTCGGGGTCCACACGCAAAAGTAACAAAAGTTTTTATTTGCTACAAATAGCTGCCCTTGAATTTGATAGTAATATGCATGATTTCTCTTTAAAATATATCTGTCATCTTTCACTTTCATATACTTTAGTATCTTCCTATCTATTGCATCTTTAGGACATATATCTTTTGCTGAAATTAGACATTTAATTTCGACAATCATATTATTACCTATGAGTCCATCTGGTGTAGCAGCTAAACAAGGATATCCCTGATGAACATACATTCCTGATGGATAAATATCTAACGCAAGCATTTCGCTTAATTCTTGTACTGCAATGGATTATTTTTTTATTCCATGGGCTGTGAATTTATTTCCTTTAAAAGCATTTAAAATAATGTCTTTGGCAACCTTTCTTTTGTCCGTTGTTACCTTTAATTTACAAATTCGACCAAAATTCGAGGCTGTCAGACGTTTCTTTTTTTCTGAATACCATTCACTTGAATTCCGTTGAGCTATTGTGTTATTGGATAATTGAATACATTTCTCATTATTCTTATGAAGTTCCGATCTAAATTTTTCTTTAATTTTCTTTAATTCAATGATCAATTTTTAACGTTTTTGGTGCTTGTGGCCCATAATCTTCATCTGGAGCATGGTTTTTTGTTAAATATTTGATTGATTTTTGCAAATTTTTGTAATATAATTTTCTTCGCAATGTATTTTTGTTACACACTGAAATAAGTTTTTTTGTATATACGCCAGGACTTCTTTCTGTGATGCTTTTGTGCAGGGCTTGGTGATATTGACCTTTAGAGATGTACGACAAAGCAGCAGCGTGGCATCTCATTTCATAGGACCCCCGAGAGCTCTAATTTATTCTTTTACCTCCTAGAAACTTTGCTATTACATTATTATATTGTTCAGCATTGTTACTCATATTTTTCATAAGACTATTTGCATGGAATTTTAATCTTGCTGTACATGAGCTAATATCTTTCAAGAGGCTGTATTCTTTCATTGGTATTGTATAATCTGTTTCTGATAATTTTCTGTGACAAAAATAATCTGCGAAATTCGAATGATTTCCAAATACATGAAGATGACTATTAGATATATCGTTTTTCAAAAACTTTATTTTTCAGTCACTTGGTTTATCTCACTGTTGATGGTATTCAGGTGCTTTTGTAACAGCAGTTCTTAATCTTAATGCGTTATTTTTTAAAAGCTTTCGTAAGAAAATTCGTACCAGTTTTCCATCGGAACTATATCGTTTTGTTGATAACTCTTTTAATCTTGTAAAATAGTTTCTTAGGAGGTGGTTACGACATTCAATTTTTTCAACAACATTATTACCATATGGTCTATTTTCTAAAAATTTGTTATGAACACTACTATCTCCATCGGCTATTAAAAATTTGTAAGTAATTCCATGCATGTATTTACTACATTTAAATACATCTAGAATTATTTGACTTTCCATCGCAGTCGAAGCTTTTGTCCAATTTTTATAACATACGTGTTCTTTATTCTCTCCGTATAATTTACAGTCTCCAAGGTACAAGAATCTTTTAGGTTCTGTAACCAATAATGGTTGCAGCTCCAGAATTGGCGTTATAATTTGTTTTATATAATCTCTTTGACCAAGAGCAGTCCTCAACAACAGTTATAAAAGGATAGCCATCTTCATTAATATCTCCATGCTCTTTTGCTAATTTGATTTCTTCTTGTCCAGCCTCAAGTATTGATGTCCAAGAACTTTCATGGTGTAAGTCAATTAGATCATTTTGAATTGATAAATAATATTTTTTTGATAGTAGTGGGATATTTAAACTGGACTTTAATTCAGTTAGTTGTGTGTATCCTCACCAATACTATCTATTCCAGTCATTGCTGCAGAATTGACGTTGAGGGATGGTTATTTATATTTTTCAGTTTCTACTTCATGTTTCACGCGACACATTAGGCAAAAGAGAGTGAATTTAGAATAAAATCCTTTTCGCTTTCCACTAGTCACCGTAATATCTTCCGAAAAGCAATTGAACAATCTGTGGTGAGGGAATTGCAGTATTTGCCTAATAAAATATTGCACATCTATAATTGTTCTTCCTTGTAATATGAAATCTAAAGTAGTTTGTCTAAAAGACATATAAATTATTTATTTGTGTTTAAAAGTTTACTGCTCTTTAAATATATTTTATATTTGGTAAAACAACTTACGTAGTAGCTGAATATTCCTTTATTATGTTCTCCTCCTTGTAAGGAAAAATACAAGAACGCAGAAATCCAGACCGTAGAAGAATGTCCTGGATGAGAAATTTAAGAGAATGGTTTGGCTGTACCACTAACGAATTATTTAAAACAGCAGTAAATAAAATTAGAATCGGCCTAATGATATCCAATCTCCGATAGGAGAGGCACTTAAAGAAGAAGAAGATGTTCTCCTCGGCAGGTTCTTCGAAATTACGGGATTGACTGTTATAGAAAAATCGTATTACTTTCATGTTAAAAAAATTAAAAGTATGGCTTACTTAATAACTATCACCGCTACTTTTTCAGCCGCCTCTCCAGAATACCGTGCTCGTCTAGAATAGTCCAAATTAAATAATTAAAAAAAAATTAATTACTTACTTAGTACCTACAGTTTCCTTATAGTGTATTAACATGTAAACCTTCTACTACAATGCTAGCAGTGGTAACCACAAACATATAATCCACAAAAACCAAACAGATAGTTTATTCCTTTAAGAGAAAATAAAATTTAATGAAAAAATTCTTGGTTTACTGATCGATTTTATAAATGATATTTTCACTATATATTTACAAATCAGTTTAATAAAGATAATAAATAAAGAAATAAATAGTCTTTATGAATTAATTGAGCAATATCTATACAACACAGCTTTTCACAGATATACATGTGCTAAGCCGATTCTGGATAAACTAGATACCGACAGTTTTAAAGCCTTCATACCAGTGAGAATTTTACTACACATAATTTGCTGTGTAAAGAAAGATAAACTAGGGATAGGACAGTCGGTGTCGATTCGCTCTGTCTAAAGATTGCGCCTACGCTCTTAAGCCAAAAAAACAAAAATAACCATATACAAAACCCTTATACAACCAGTGTTGACATATGGATCGGAGACATGGACCATTTCCAAGGCAGATGAAAACGTCCTGCTTATATTTGAACGAAGGATCCTGAGAAGAATATTCGGTGGCATCTGTGAAAATGGTGTTTGGAGAAGGAGCTACAACTACGAAATATATCACAGATATAAATATATATTTGGTGGTATAGACGTAGTATCTCTTATAAAAATACGAAGACTAAGATGGGCAGGACATCTGGCAAGATCACAACAGAACAACCCTCCTAGAAGAATCCTTATGTCACAGCCTGTGGGAAGTAGAAGTAGGGGTAGGCCAAAACTCAGATGGAGGTATGGTGTAGATGAGGATGGTAGAAAAATAGGCGCAGCAAACTGGCAACAGTTGGCAATGGACAGAACTGACTTGCGTAATAGACTTGGGAAGGTCGATGCTCTTTTATAGGTCTGTAGCACCAATGATGATGATGAGTTGCCGTAAATAAATTAATCCGGGTTATTTGTCTATGCACACCAGATAAAATGTCTGATAAAACAGCACTGGTTCCGTTTAAAACATGACTGACATACTTATTTTTTCAAACAGAGTAGGCATTCTGATTTTTTAATATTCTCTGGTATTAGTTCCAAAAAGTCGTGAAAGATCGATAAATATTGTATAGCTTTCAAAACATTGAAAATGGACAATTGAAAAACGGATCCTAGCATATTCATTATTAATATTAAGACGATACATTTAAAAGCAATCAGAGGTTAACAAAACTAGTTTTAAATATTTAACAAAATACATTCTTCCTTTTTTTTTTTAATTTGCTACAGCCGACCCTGTCCAGTTTAAATGTCAATGTCACATACACCTGACAATGTTGACAGATGTACATACGATAAAAATAATAGTAGAATTAAATATTTTTATTTTATAAATAGGTTTATAATTGAAGAGTTTTAAGATTCTTTATTATTTATCCTTTTGATAAACCGCAAATTTTGTTAATGTTGTTCATTATTTACAACAATTTGCCTCGTTATAGTTATATAAATAATTTAAATGTCTTCAAAACTATAGGTAAACAAAACAAATTGTCAAACAATGTAACCTCAATTTCCAGTTTGAGTTTGGGTGACATTTTCAGTTATTGAAAGTTTTGCGAGTTTTTTTATTGTTTTGATAAATTTTGTGTGAAATGGACGAAGATGATTTAAAGAAATTAATTAACCTAAAGACTACAGATGATATAATTACCAAATTTTGTAACTGTCACATTTTAAGAGATCATCAATTCGTCAAAGATGATCTTTATGTTAGAAATGGCAAAATTTTGGATTCACTTGATCTATTTTACAAAGAACGTCATTCTCCACATTTAGTTGTAGATTGCAAAGGAAATTATATTGCACCTGGATTAATTGATTTACAAATAAATGGTAATTATCCTCAATAAAAGTTAAAATTTATCAAACATATTTTAACCCCTTTGATCACTTAGGTGGATTTGGTTATGATTTTTCATATCATGGACATACAGAAGAAGCTGTGAAAGTTGTATCAAAAAAGTTGTTGCAACATGGTGTAACTGGTTACTGTCCAACAGTGGTAACATCACCTGCATATGTTTACCATGATATTTTGACAAAGATACCAAAAACCAAGGGGAGCCAAGATGGTGCAGCTATTTTAGGGATTCATGCTGAAGGACCCTTCATTAACAAAGAAAAGAAAGGAGCACATCCTGAAAAATACATATTGCCACATAAAGGGGTGAGTTAACTTACGTTGTTTATTTCATAGGGCTATTTGTATATAAAAAAGTGTTGATTATTTTGAAACATATTTATGAATTTATTTTAACTAACCAAATAGCAAATTTATAGATAAGCAAGCAATAGGATGAAATTAAATTAGTTTAGAGGAATGATGATGTATCTTCAGCCTCATATCCTTTAATGCAATAAAGAACATAACCAAAATTAAAAGTAATAAACAATAATTTTAGATGATAAAAAAGATAACAGACCCTATGTAATAATTTTTGATATAAAAGAATAAAATAGTTCTATTATAATAATTGTAGAATAAGAGACATTGAGCACATATATGAACCCATAGATATTTAACCCTCCAATAGTCGCATACAGTTTCACAAACTGACAGATACTGAAAATATCTGTAAATAGCCCAAATACCCCAAATATGCTTCCAAAAGACCACCACTTCAAGAGTTCCCCACTTCATTTGATGTTTCATTGAGACTGGCGGCACTGTTAGTTAGTGTGATACTGTTTAGTCAGCAGTTAATGTCGGTCCTAGGCACTGATGTGACTATTTACACACTATTGTAAACACTGAACATAAACAAGGTAATTAAGTTATAACCATAATTACATGCCGTTATTTTATAATTTTGGTATTTGTAGATGAATACTTATGAAAAGGAACAACACTTCAATATTTGTTAGAATCCGTTACCACAGATACTGAACAGTCAGAATATGATTCTGACCTTTCCAGCCATCAATTAGCAAATTGTTCTTCCAACCAAATTATCGAAAAAGATGAAGAATATTTGGATTCTGAGTCAGACTGTGATGAAGCAGATTGAATTCAGGAGCCTCTAGAAGTTTATGACTCAGACTAAGAAACTAATATCACATATTTCAAGTCATCAGTTAGCAATGCTACAAGTTTTTTGGGTAAGAATAGGCAATCAAATCATAAAGGTTTTACCAGGACCAAGTATATAAAAGAAAAACTTGAAAACTCCCATGGAAATTTGGAAATATTTCTTTCCAGAAGAAATTATTAATACAATTATTTTACATACTAACAAAATTATTGAGAGACAGGGATGCAAATTTGCAAATTCAGATGAAATTTAGGCACTTCTGGGTTTACTGTATTTAGATGGAAAGTACAAGGCAAGTTATCTCAATTTAGATGATTTATGGAAAGCTGACAGATTTGGAATTGAAATTTTTGGTTCAGTGATGTCTCTTAGAAGATTTAGGTTTTTGATGCCAGCTTTACATTTTGATCATAAAGCTTCTTATCAGGATTGATTGTCACAATTGATGAAATGCTTATGGAATTTCGTGGGAAATGTAAAAGTATATCCTGTCAAAACCAAGCAAATACAGTATAACTGTTTTGTGTGACTCTAAAATGTACTATTCCAGTAATTTGGAAGTGTATGTAGGTTGTCAACCAGAAGGTCCTTATAAACTATCAAACACTGCACAAGATGTTGTCATGAGACTCTCACAGGAAATTTAATGAACCAATAGGAATATCACAATAGATAATTTGTTTACTAGTGTGCCAGTATTTAGACAACTTTATAAAAAAAAAGTGACAGTTGTAGGTACTATCTGCAAAATAAGAGAGAACTACCCTTGGAGTTTACTGTTCTTACAACCAGATAAACAAAGTCTAGTATGATTGGATTTCACTTGTGAATGTACAGCTATCAGACATGCTTAATGCAAAAAATAATGTGTTACTTTTGTCCATGATGCATCACAATGATGATTTAGATTTAGATACATGTAATCTTTTAAAATCAGTAATAATAATGGATTATAATTCCACAAAAAATGCTGTTTATATAGTGGATAAGCTAATGGCGAACTATAACTGTGCTTGTTATACCTGAAGGTGTCTTGTAGTAATATTTTATGTGATAATGAATATTGCTGGTATAAACAGCCAAATTATTTACACAGCTAATAATCCGAATGTTGGAATGTTGAGAAGAAAGGGTCCAATTCGCCATATATTCCAAAACTGATATGCTTACATCTACAAGAATTAACAAACCAAGATATTACCGAAGCTCCAATTGAAAGAGTGCAAATTGAAAGATGCAAATTTTGTGGATTTCAGAAGAACCAAAAAACAAAATATTGATGCGAGCATTGCAGTGTTTTTTATTTTTATAACACTTATTTGGCATATGTAGGGACTCTAACTAATTTAGTTTATCTTTGTACACCAGTTTTTAGTAGTTTAATACAACAATGTTCTTTTATTTATTTTACTACTCATTTTTTAGAGCTGCAATTTCTTTGCATTTTAATTTTTCTACCAACAAAACCGGTCTAAGGGACTGACGCACCCGAGTATTCTAAATTTATCACACAACAAATGTAGGGTTAAGAACAATCACATAAAAATAGCGATAAACAAATAAATGAAAGAATAAAGGCAACATATTGCACTTTTAATATCAAAACAATTACTTAATTTATCATTTAGAGCCCTGATCAGATTGTCTGTTAAATAATGTATGCATTTTATTTTTTAGTCTTTGAAACAAGTCAAAGAAACTTATGGCGAGGGATATGGAAACATTACCATTATTACTCTTGCTCCAGAATTTAATAGATCAGATGCCATCATAAAGAAATTGAAAATGGACAATAAAATTGTATCATTAGGTACTTTATTTTTTTTTATTTAATATATGATAGAGTTGATATTATGCATGAAATATTGTCAACATGTGATTCCTTACTTAATATGTTATTTAGTGAATTGTTTGTAGTTGGTAAATACTTATTGACTTCTCAAGGTAAAATTGTCTAAAATAAATTTTCAATTAATTTTGAAATTTCACTTCTTTTAGGAGTATCTTTTCTGATATGACAAAAATTAATATATTAACTTATTAAGCTTTGCATTACCAATAGGGAAACTTTAGATGTTCTTATTTGAAAATCATTTGTATATGTAGGACTAGCCAAATATGATTTTTTTAAATTTTTCCATTTACAAATATTGATTATCTGAGTAAAATGAGTTTTTTTTTTGTTTTATACTAGCTTCATTACTAGTTTCGCCTTATTTTCATATTTCTTTGTATCCGATTTTTAGTATTTATTCTTTTACCTGATTCTTTTACATATCTATGGTTTAGTCCTTGTGATTTTTCTTGGAGGTAAGCAAAATATACAACCTTTACATAACTTCCACATCCACTTTCAGTCTTTCAGCTTTTCAAATTGCATGAGTTTCATGATAGTTATGATAATAATTTATCACAAATAACCTTCTTAAAATCCTAGGGAAAGTAGCAAAGCCAGTGAGCTTACAATATTATATATCAACTAAAATTGTTTCATTGGGAACGACTTTCTATAGAAAATGGCTTAATAGGTTCTCAAATTTTTGTATATCTGTTTAATACATCCCTTCAGGGAACAAGATATTTTATAGTATTGTACCGTTTTTAAATAAAACGAGCGGTTCGAATTTATATAAATATATTTATTTATAACTTTACAGTTCGGTATTCTCTTATCATCTAAACTAACTCCTAAGGTCGTTACATATATATATCTAAGTTACTATGTTCTAGAAAGTTCCCACCTCTAATTCGCGAACGTGGCCCATTGTTCTCTTGCCTTCGAGAGATCTAAGGATGATTCTGGAAGCCGTTTCGAGATGTAACCGTTATATGAGTCATGCCGAAAGCATGTTCGTAACACTGCTCCCCTCTTAGATCTGAGCGTCCCGATCAGCAACTCTATATGTAGGCCCAGGATGGCGGAATCTACAGGACTCTCCAGCTCTGCATGAACCCCTCAGAAACAAATAACAGTCTACTGTCTTTGAAGGACACGATCTCTTCGGATTAGTGCAACACACAGTAATTCGTACGCCGGTTTCTCGGAAGATCACTTCAAGCATGCTTCTGACAATCTTCCAATCCAGATTATCTAGTGCATGGCCTATCTTGGGTAAGGCCAAATTCTTAATGTCGTGATTGCAGACGATTTTCTTCAAATTAGTTAGAGCACACCATATATCCTCGTAGGTTGCCCTAGCTGTATACGACTTCCTGGTCACCATATACAGCAAAGATCGAGAACCATCTTCTAATCTCAATACTCTTCCAACTTTAGGCTGCTGGTTTTTTAACTCGTCCAAACGACCGAACTTCTTATAAAATACAGATGAGATTCCTTTAGTCATCTCAAGATCTTGGGCAACACAGTGGGCTAGAGAGACGTTATGCGGAACACTAAAAAGATCCTGCTGAACTTCTGTTGTCACGCCGAATCTAGCACTCTTTCTCTCTGCGTAATTTGACATAAACTCCTTAAAGCTTGGTCGCCGATCATCTTTGATCTTATTTTGAACGGTTCGGACTTCTTCGGTTTCATTTGAGCCAGCATAAGGTGCAAGATGATTTATGTGAACTACTTTAGGTTTACCTTTCGGCAACTTCTTAATTCGGTATATTACGTCATTTATTCTCTTTTTAATTTCATACGGACCCTTCCATTGTCTTTGCAGTTTAGGAGACAAGCCACGACGACGTTGTGGATTATAAAGCCAAACAAGATCACCTACTTCATAGCTTTCATTCTTGCATCGAGAATCGTATTGATCTTTCATTCTGTCACTGGCTAACTGGATGTGTTGTCGGGCAAGTTCATGAATGCTGTTCATTCTTAACTTCAGACGATCGACATAATCTTCGCTTGCAACATGTTCTTCGGAAGGTCTGCAGCCAAACTCTAAGTCGCAGGGCAAACGAACTTCACGACCTAACATCAGGCAGGTTGGAGTCTGGCCTGTAGTTTCATTCACGGCCGAGCGGTATGCCATTAAGAATAAATGAATGTGCTGATCCCAATCTCTTTGATGTTTTGATACAACTTTGGACAGGTGTTTACCCATCGTTCGGTTCATCCTCTCGACCATTCCATCTGATTGAGGATGCAGGGGTGTCGTTCTGGTCTTATTGACACCAATCAATTTACAAACGTTTTGGAAAAGGTTTGACTCGAAGTTTCGCCCTTGGTCGGAGTGGATCTCCAAGGGAACACCAAATCGGCTAAAGTATTCTTTAACAAGTACCTCTGCAACGGTAGCAGCTTCTTGATTTGGTAGCGCATAGGCCTCAGTCCATTTCGTAAAATAATCCATGGCTACCAGGATATATTTATTTCCATCATTTGTCTCTGGAAGTGGACCTCCAATATCGATTGCTACTCGTTCCATAGGACTACCAACATTGTACTGTTTCATGGGTGCCCTCTTTTTACCAACTGGACCATTACTAGTTGCACACAGTTCACATTTCCGGCACCATCTTCTTACATCATCTTTACAGTTCACCCAATAGAACCGTTCTCGAACCTTTTGCAGAGTCTTCGTAATACCAAAGTGTCCACCTGATGCACCGTCATGTAACTGACGTAATACTTCGGACACTTTACTTTTAGGTACAATCAACTGAAACTTAGTTTCTGTACCATCATCGTTCTCAAAGGTTCTATAAAGAAGATCATCTTTTAGCACTAGGCAATTCCATTGGCTCCAGTAACACTTGACTTCAGGACTACATGCACTAATGTCTTGCCAAGAAGGCCTTTCACTTCGACGCACCCAATCCAATACTCTTTTTATACATGGATCATCTGCTTGAGCGTCTTGTAGCTGTTGACGCTGCCATTGATCATTAATAACGGTGGTTCGCCTCACGGGGCAAAGTCGTTGTTCTAATTCAAGACAATGATTACGATTTGCACTGTATGGCCGTCTTAATTGAACATCAGCATTTGAATGACTTTTTCCAGCCCAGTGCTCGATCTGTTCTAGCTTTCTGACTGTTGTATTATTTTCTTGCACTTTGTGGCGAATGTGACCTTCGTTGTTACCATTCCAACATCTGGGTTCACGTTTCTTCGGCATCATGTTACGAACTACTTTCCGTACGATTTCCTCTAGACGTTTATCGTTTCGTTCGTCACTTTCTTCAGAGGTTCGTACTTGATAGCTCCGTGAAACTCGACTAGCTATCTCATGTTCCAAGGCAATGGCGAGCGCTTCATCTAAAACTTTCGGTCTTGCTAGTCGTAAAGCTTTCTGTAGTTCACTGTCTCTCAACCCATTGACGAAGACATCTACAGCAATTTCTTCCAAAATGTTGTCTGGTACCTCTGGATAGGCCAACAGCGCTATACGAGCAATATCTGCTTCAAATTCTTGCAAACTCTCACTTGCTCGTTGAATTCTACTTCTTATTTGTACTTTGTAGACTTGTTGTAGATGGGCATCTCCGTAACGTTTGTCTAGTCGAGTGAACAAGGTCTGGTAACATTTTTCTTGACCCTTAGGAATCGATCTTAGGATATCTGCAGCATCACCTCGTAAAGCAGCAGTCAAGGAAACAGCCTTTTCTTGTTCTGTCCAATGATTGGCTGTCGCAATAGCTTCAAATTGTCTAAGGTATATGGACCAAGAGGACTTTCCATCAAATGGTGGTAATTTGAATCTCATATTATGTGTCATTTCGTCTCTAGATGATTCTTCTTTCACTACCGGATCTAAAGCTACCGTATTAATTAGTGGTAGCACTTTCGTGTTAGTTATCATGCTCTCTAACTGTTTGATCTTCTCTTCTACCTTATCGAATGTTTTAGAAACTTCTTCAAATTTCTCATTATTCTTTTTCGAAGTTTCTTCCATCATTTGAGAAACATTTTCAAATTTCTCGTCGAATCTTTTTGACACATTTTCGAGTTTCTCGTCGTTTTGTCTAGCTACTTCTTTAATAATTTGAGACGTTTCATTGAATCTTTCATCATTTATTTTAGAAGTTTCTTCAATCATTTGCGAGACGTTCTCAAATTTACTATCATTTTGTTTCGAAGATTCTTCAATCATTTGAGACGTTTCATCGAATCTTTTGAAAACAGTCTCGAATTTTCCATCAATTATTTTAGTTAGGACGGCTTCTTCTGCTGACTGGAACTGGAATGTCTCTGGGTCGTCTCCATTCTTGTTGAGAACAGTCTTCAGTCGTTCTTGGAGTATCTTCTTGGACCCGCTGCAGTCTTCATCGCGTTCTTCTAGTTGCTCACGCAACTGTTTCACTGAAAGTTCTACTAGCAGCATCTTTGGTCAAGCACACACGTACTTTTTTTTTAAATGTTCTTTCGTACAAAGATCACTACCGAAATACGCGGATGTTCCCGACGAACAATACTTTTCAAAAGTTCAAAAGTTCAAAAGTCTTTTTTTTTTTTTTAAATCACTGCTGCATTTATTTTCAAATCTCACACCGGACACCACTGTACCGTTTTTAAATAAAACGAGCGGTTCGAATTTATATAAATATATTTATTTATAACTTTACAGTTCGGTATTCTCTTATCAACTAAACTAACTCCTAAGGTCGTTACATATATATACCTAAGTTACTATGTTCTAGAAAGTTCCCACCTCTAATTCGCGAACGTGGCCCATTGTTCTCTTGCCTTCGAGAGATCTAAGGATGATTCTGGAAGCCGTTTCGAGATGTAACCGTTATATGAGTCATGCCGAAAGCATGTTCGTAACAGTATGTATCCAGTACATCTATGCTTCTGTAATATTCACACACAGAATTTTATCTTTAATTTACAATGGAGCCTATTTCTTTGTTTTCTACTCATCCTCACATCCTCTATAATTTCATGCTCTATATTATGATGACTTTTCCCCACCCATCCTATATCCCCGATATAGCTCTCTGTCACTTTTTATTCCCCATGATGCACCTCAAGGAACTGATCATGTCAGTGTAGTAGAACTGTGACTGCAGTGCTAAATGGGTTGACTTCAGATTCTCTCAAATGTCATTGGTTTCCTAATATTTATGTTCACTTGGAGCATCTATATTAATTTCAGATTTTTATTTTTTCCTTTTACACCCGTTAAACACGTTATATCCGAGATTGGTTTAAAAGTTTTTCCTTTAGGGTTTTAAAGCCTAGGGTTGTAAAGCATTTTTTTGCTAAAATAGATTTACCCCTCTAACCGTCTTAATTTGTGAGAGAAATATTAAACATAATATTATATCAACAAAACATACAATATAAAAACCGGCCTAAGTCCGTAGTTACTAAATGTTCATCAGCACAACTTGGAGAAGTAGAGGTAATATCAACTAGATGCCATGGGGTAGATGACGTCAAAGTCATGCACAGAGTGAATAGGTCTATTATCTAAATAGATTTGATTGCTACAACCAAACTTTTTAATTGTGATAATATTTGACTAATTTTCGTTTGGCAATGGGTCAATTTTTAAACGAAAACAAAACTACAAAATAGTTAGTCGATCGATAAACCGGAATAGAAACTTTTGACGATAAAAAGTGTAGCTTCTTCCTAAAATTAATATAAAGAAATCTTTTGTAGGACATTCCGTGGCAAATTTGGCTCAAGGCGAAAGTGCTGTTAAAAATGGCGCAAGTTTTATTACTCATCTGTTCAATGCGATGTTGCCGGTAAGTATTTAATGAACATATTTTACAATATTTATAATACTATACGAAAAAGCAGAAGAATAATATTAGGAAATGCTGTAACCAGCTTTATCATTAAGAATTATATATGTAGTTATTTAATTCCCTTTAATTCTTGCTCGAGTATAGAACCAAAAGACTGTTTCTTTATTGGTATTTGAATGTGGCTGCAGTTGTTATCAACTCTTGCTTTATCTTTTGGCGTCTTTATATCAATTCTTTTCTAGGTATACTGCTTTTGTCCCCAAGACGTCTTCACTTGAAGCTTCTAGTTTAGGGATTTTTTTAAAATACCCTGGGTTTATATCTACTCGTCCCCACATCCTGGCCAGAATTTGTGTATTTATGGGAGTCTATCTACCTGAAAACTCTGACCGAATTCTATCAGAACTTTATTGTTCTATATATCTCATTTACTTAGTTTTAAGAACATTTAATATGAACAGTTGTCTATTTTTAACATTTAAAAAGGTGATTTGTTAGCAATTTCCATACTGTTTGTATTTATGCAAATCATAAATAAAAATATTTCTACCGGAAGTCACCTTTTAATTATCCTACTGGAGGTCAGGTCACCACCGGACCGAAGTAGCCGGGTGAAGTAGGTGAAGGTGAGGTCACCACCAAAAAAATATAATTAAATTGAGACAAATAAATAAAAAAATGAGAGCAACATAATTACCTATATCTAAATTCTGAAATAAATTATTTATTCTCTTTTAATTAATCTAAAAATTAAAAAAGGCAACTAGCTTTATTAGCGGTAGGGGTACTACACGGTCAGGTCCTGACCTGTGTCACTAGCCGTGTACGATTCAGGAATAGGTGAATATCATTTTTGAAATGCGGAATCCATCTACACAAGCGTTCACGATTTCCATGACAACGTGACGTCAGCCTATCCTTAGTGATAGCTGAGAAAACTGGCGAGTGCAGTTCCGTCTAAAAATTCATTATCCGCCTTCATTACCACTGTTGGATATGTATTTGGTATTCCTATTTTTCGGAAATTTCTCTCAGCGACAATATTTTGAAATTTAGTCTATTATATAGATATTTTTATATAGTATAGTGTATAGTATATGTAGTATTTATTAGTTTAGTCACAGTATTAATTTTATTTGTTTAGTGCACTTTATTAATACATTTATCTGTGGTTTGTTTCGGATTTCGGATATAAAGTGTTCTCGTGGATTTCGTTTGGACAACAATAATTTTAGACAGACATGAATCCAATTATTGACTTGGTGTGTAATATATTAGAGACTCCGTTTAGGCATTGGAAAAATGAAGATAAAGGGATGTTCTTTTAGAAGATAAAGGGTCACCAACTAGAATTTTAAACATCTGTGTCTGATCCAGAGTGGTCGGCTGCAATCAGCATCTGACCCAGAGTGGGCGGCTGAATCGAAACTCACCAACCCGTTTTAGCAGGCGTGGTGTTTTAATCGCCAAAAAACCCTCAATGAAATGTCAAGGTTCAGAACTAAAATACCCCAGGCAAGCAGAATGAATCGTATCTAGTATAAGTGCCCTAAAAAACTGTTGTTAAGTTATTAGGGCTCTAAACTCTATACATTTTTTTAACGAATTTTTAATGAGATTTGGGCGCAAAGTAGGTACCAAAACTCCTTGTGGCTCCGGCAAGCTTTCCTCATCTTCACCACTTTTTTAGGCCACGAGTCGTCGCTGCCTACTAGCAATTCCCTACACCATTACTACAATTTTGCGATCCATAAGTTGCTGGTCCTTTGAGATTTATATTTATTTTTTATCTACCATGCGTAGGAAGGTGAGAATATAGTTTTACTAATATTTTTCTTTTGTAACAGACTTTATACATGTCTTTAAATCTGTCTTCACTGGGCACACACACGTCTTCAGAATCATCTCTTTTATGGCTACCAAGTATTCCACTAAACGAGAAGTCTCTGGATACTTTTGTAGCAGTAATCCCACCCTTATAGATTTTACCGCCTGTTTGTACGACTTATATTCTCCGGTCGTTTTGCTGGTTCCAATACCTTTCTTCCTAGGACCCCCTAAAATCCTTTGTTATTATTTCACTCCCTTCTGGTTTTTGTGGCTTCTGAATGAATGTAGAATACAAATATTGCAAACTATTTAAAAAAAAAAATGGAGACTAAGAGCTGAAATCACAAGTTATTTCAAAAGAAGTACATCCAAAGTTTTCGTAGATTTCCAAACCTCCTAGAGTAAAGATAACTGTACGAATTGCCAAATGCAGACTGATTTGTTTTGTTCTAAATGATCTACCTAATAGATTTTAATGTGCAGCGCAGTTAATGTTAATCCTGTGAATATATCAGTGCATAGTTTCTTAGGAGGGAAGCACTTTCTTCAGGAAGAAAAAAAATCAAATAATTTCAAAAGAGTGAGATAAAAAGGGAGAGAGAGAAAACAAATAGTTTTTAACTATTTCTTTGAGTACAATAAATTTAATATAATATTGCCTAATATAAGTTTTAGTTTTAAGACAAAATAACTTTATCTACGAATATTTTAAGATATGTATCTTATCCATAAAGTACATTTACTTTTATAATTTTGTGGGTTAAGTGTGCATCAATATTTGTATCGAGATAACATGATATTAAAAATACTTTAAGTATATTTCACAAGAAAACAAATCAAATACGTAAAATCAGAATGATAAAGATTGCGCAAAAGTTACTGGTGAAAAAATTGACCAGAGAGTTTTAGATTGAACACACAGTGAATGGTGCTACTAGGAAGAAGTCTTAGGACATTGAAACATTTTGTGTCTCTCGTAGGTACCATTACTCAATCGTTGAAGTTAATGATCGGGGTCGTTTAGGAAAATACATAGAACAAGAAAGGAAAAAAGTACAGAAAGAAAATAGTTGTTTACAAAAAAACGAGATGTTCATAGAAAGACGATTATACTAAGAGACTGTACAGATAAAATATCAATAGTATAAAACAATAATATACGTACTGATTAAATTTAATGTCACGTTAATTTATTAAAAGTTTGATAATCCGTAATTTGATTTTCTTTTAATTCAAATAAAAAACATGAAAAGTACCTATTTACAGTATAAATATTTTTCTTTTCGTAGCACTACAACCCGGGGTGGGTTTTGGCTGACTGCACAACTTGCTTCCATCTTAAACGGTCGTCCATAATAGTTTGGGTCAGTGGGTAGCCCCATTGTTCTTGGAGCTGACCATATATTGTCTCTCCATCGCATTCATGGACGTCCTACTAAGAGCCTTCTTGCTGTGGGGCTTCCTCCCACATTAACTTGGCAAGGCGGTTATTAGTGAATCTATGGACATAACCAGCCCATCTTAGACGTTGGGATATAATCTCTTGGACTATGTGGCTCGCTCTATATATCTGCTTGACCTCAGCATTTGTTCTCATTCGGTATTGGTTGCTATTACTGTCGTAATAAGGCCTACAGATTCTTCTGAGGATTTTCCTCTCAAAACATCTAAGTTTTCTTTCAGTTTCTTTGGTCAGGGTCCACGTCTCACACCCATACATGAGCAGCGGTCTAATCACCGTTTTATATATCCTAATCTTTGATGTTCGTGTTAAGCTTTTAGATTTAATCGTATTGTGGAGGCTGTACATACATCTGTTTGCTCAGTATAAATATTACTGAGGCTAAATTGAAAGAGGTCCACAACTGATTTAGCACTGTTAATCGACATATTGTTGGTCAAGTAGTCCCACACTGTAGAATCTTGGGATTGGGAGCAGGGGCGGTTTCTCTATTGGTTCACTTGTGCAGTGAGTCTTGCAAAATCTCATAAATATCGTAGTATCATTAAAATATAACTTTATTTATTAATCTTATTGCACCACGTCGCTGGATGCACGTGAAAAGTATGGAATTCAAATTAAACCCAGACAGTAGACAGTAAACCTGTAGTTAGAAACAGAGGTCTTAAAATCCGTGAGACTAGCGATTCGTCTATTTAAAACAGTGAGGATTTGTGCATTACACAAAGAGACTGGAGCGTTTCGATTCACAAATTTAGTTAAATCTTAAATACAATATTAGTAGTTTTACGATGGAGCCTCATTCAGTGAAGTTTATAAAAGTAAACGAAAATAGTTTTCAAGATCGACTTTTTATAAAAAAAAAATGGACCACCTCGGACGGAGATAAACTTGCTACAAGTATCCGACAACGGATACAATGAACAAACAATTAATAAAATGTTAACTCAAAAACTACACAAGAAAGCCCTGAAATTAGTGTTTCCACCACCAGAGAAAAAACCCAGTACCTTCTGTTCGATTACATATACAGGCAAAATTACAATAAAAATAGCCATACACATAAAAAAGAAAGGAATAATACCAGCTTTCCGAACAAATAACAACCTAGGCAAATATATCAAAAACAACAAGAGCCAAAATAAAAAACACTTACACAGTGGTGTGTACAAACTTAAATGTGGCGACTGCCCAAAAACTTACATCGGTCAAACTGGTAGAAACTTTACCAAACGAATATCAGAACATAAAAGGGCTTTCAATAATAGAAAAACTGATTCTACATACGCACTTCATCTTCTAGATCACAATCATTCTTTTAACGACGAATTTAAAATTCTTCACATTCAAAATAAAGGCCTTAAGCTATCCTTAGAATCTATGGAAATCAACAAATTAAAAAATACAGATATAATTTTGAATGACCAACTTGAGACAAACAGTTCTCCCCTCCTCAACCTATTTCATTAGAGACTATAACGTGTAAACGCATGCCAAAAATAGATCACTTGAGAAAGGCAATCAGCCGAAACAGCTGTAGTGATAAGAGTTAAAATAAATTTTTGTGGAGATTTGAAAACAAAGTTTTCAGTGTTTTATTGTTACATAAAATAAATTTCTATCAAGTAACGGACGAATCCATCAATTATTTAATTGTATTCACTAACATAGTATCTAAATTTCCAATGTTTTGGTCATTTACCTTTTCATTGAAAACATATACCAACTCCGAATAAATATGAGGTTTGTGTAAATTAAAGACCTTTTTTGCTGGCTCATTAGAACTGAACTATAGGTTATTCCACGAATATACGACTGTTTGGAATTATTGCTACAACGAATTTTTTACTGTACAAGTAGAAGTATGAAAGTAAATTTGTCTAATTATTATTCCATAAAAAAGGATCTTCTGTTACTATGACATATAAACTAAAATTATTTCAGTTAGTAGATGTTCAGATAGACGCAAAATTTATTGTGAAAATTAATCCGAAAATAACAAAAAAATTTACGTAAACGCTCCTACAAATAAATACAATGACCTCTATGAAGTTGAAATGTGTTCATCAGCCATTTGGGTTGGATTTCGGTGAAATGTAAACACCAAAGACGCGCGCCGGGTATATTTATTACTTTATTAGGTACTACACCGGTAATAAAAAGAAATATATTATTTTTAATACAAATAAAAAGAAATTGGCAGAACGGTGGTTCAGAAACCAGAAAAAGAATCTGGTATTCCACTTTGTTAGTTTTTTGTTTGCTTTGAGTGGATATACTCTTAAAAGTTCCGAAAGTAACGGGTATAACATGGCGGCTATTGATAGTTAAACATGACTGCTGGACATAGGCCTCCCTCATTTTTTTTCATTGTGCTCTATCTTGAGAACTTTTCACCCAATTTCTTGACATTTTCTTGAGATCGTCAGTCCAATGAGTAGGGGATCTTCCTCTACTTCTTTTGTCTAACCTCGTCCGCCACTCAAGCAATCTCTTCGTTCATCTTTCATCACTGATTCGGGCGACGTGTCCGGTCCAGTTTTATTTCAGTATGGCAATTCGGGAAATTACATCGGTAAGTCTTTATTTCTAACTCGGTAACGAAGCGATATATTCAGCATTGACCTTTCCATTTTCTTCTGAGCTATTTGCAGCGTTTTAGAGCTTGTAGCTGTCAATGTCAAAGTTTCGGCACCATAGGTCATCACAGGCAACACACATTAGTGAAATGTTTTACGTTTTAAAGAAATTGGTATATCGCTTTTAAATATATCTTTGAGTTTTCTTTAGGCTGTCCATGCTAGGTTTATTCTTCTTCGTAGTTCGCATGTTTGGTTATCTCTTGTGATCTTTATTTTGTGTCCAAGATATATATATATATATATATATATATATATATATATATATATATATATATATATATATATATATTTTTTTTTTTTTTTTTTCCACGAGCTCTACTTTGTTGTCTCCAATATTGATATTTCCGCTAGGTACTAGATTTGTCATGAATTTTGTTTTAAAGATGTTTATTTTAAGACCGACACTGGCACACACTAACTGAATTCATATAGCAAGGAGAAATCCCTCGGCGTTTAATCCAAAGTGGGCGGCCGCAAACAGCGTCGGACCCAGAATTAGTGGCTGAAACAAACACTCACCAACAAGTTTAGCCAGCGTGGTGTTTAAAGGCTAAATACCCCTCACGAAGGAGAATATCATGGTTGAGAAATTTAAGAGGCTGATTTAGCTGAAGTTCAATAGATCTCTTCAGAGTAAATATAGTGATAGTGATGATATCCATCATCCGATGGATTTGGAGATGGCACTTAAAAATAATGTAACTTGTTCATTTAATAAATAGGTCATTAGCTAACAGAGATGTCAGCAAATGTTACAGCTTCTTCAGAGGCAGACAGAAAAATGATTGGATTTGAATTAAAGTTATGTTAAAATGATGAAAATTATGTTAAAATTATGTTCAATGACGGTTGACTTTAAACCGGGGTGGTCGGAGAAGAATTGTAGTCTTTGCGGGAAATAAACGGCATTTTAAAAGGGATCATTATTTATCATATTTAAAAGGAAATATCTAGGCCTTATGGAACTTTTATTGGTGTTAAAATTTGTAAAGTAGCCATAAAAAATATTGTGAGACTGGATAGCAGATAAAGTTCTCCTGTTAACTTTTCTCCTCCATATTTTTTAAGTTCAATATTTATTCCATAATCTCTAAGACTTTTGATATTTTTTAGTTTTGTAATTTCTGTTTTTTTTTCTTCCAATTGTGGATGAGATACAGTTATTTAATTTTTTGTTTTATTTCCTCTTTCCTCTTCCTCTATCCTTATAAATTCTCCTTTTAGTATTTCTCAAAAATGTTTTGTACATCTGTCGAGCATCTCGTCCGCATTAGAAATCAGGTCACCTTTTGTATCTTATGAAAAATGTTGAATTCTGTGTCTTCTTGCTGTTACCCGTTATTTCTTGAAAGCAATTTTTACTTTCTATCGTTTAAAGTTGGTTTCTATTTTGAATATTTTTTCTTCCAAGAACTTTCTTGCTCATTCTTGCTTTCTTGCTCTACATGTTTGTTTTATTCTCAGTCTTTCTATTTCATATTTTGTTTTGTCTTATTTTTTTGTAGCATCTTCTGTTTAGCTCTCCCACTTTTTCCCCTCCGTGAACTTTTCCATAATAACTCATCGAAAAGTACATCAAAACTTTGATTAACAGAATCAAACTCAGATCAAGCGGTGACAAAAATATTTTATTTTTTGACAATAGTACTTTAGCAATTTTTGCTACAGCTCTACAATTAAAAACTTTCAGATTGGATTTTTTCATTCTTCCATTGCATTTTTTATATAAAAGTTAACAGTAACAACTTGTTTTAGTTTCATCATCGAGATCCCGGACTAGTTGGCCTTTTAACATCCGATCAATTTCCTAGTAAAGACTTATACTTCGGCATCATATCAGACGGAATACACACGCATCCTTCGGCTTTAAGGATAGCTTATAAGGTACATCCTGATGGTAAGAGTGACTTTATGTACCGGTGATAGCGGTTTTTTTTAAACTCCTGAATATCTTAGTTTATGTTTCGACTTAATTTTATTTTTTTTTCAGGTTTGGTGTTAGTAACGGATGCCTTGTCGGCGTTGGGTTTAAAAGATGGGCGACATAAAATCGGACAGATGGACGTAGAAATAAGGGGCGGCATGGCTTTTGTAGCAGGTACTAACACTCTTTGTGGAAGTGTTGCCAGTATGATTGAATGCGTCAGGTTTTTCATCAATGCTACAGGTAAAATAATACTTACAGTACTATTATTTACTTACAGTACAGTAAGCATTATTATTTATGGTAAAGTGCTTGAAGTGAAGATAAGCATTTATTTCGTGGCGTTTCTGTGAGGTGTTAGTTTGTGTTATCTACTCTCCAGATATTGTAGTGTTATATAGAAATAGAGCTGTTTTCCGTATATCTACAACTACTGTTACTATTATCTTGATTGTGCGTTTTGATGCGTATTAGGATACCTTTTATTCTTTCTGTTGCATTTATGCACAAGTATTACGTTATTCACTCTTTTCTGTTCGTAAAATGGAAAAATCAAATTATATCAAAGACAGGAATGTGAGGAAAGACGGCGATACATTCGTTCATTGAGAATTCCGACTTTTGAAAATAAAACGTTTTTGTGTTTTAACAACTGATTTTTCTACATGTTCAGTCCATTTTCGTGCCTTAAATGTATACGTTTTTTCAAAAACAGTTCTTATAACGACAAATTATTACTTTAGTGCTCGATTTATTCTGGAAAATATGATGAAAATATTTTCTAACCTTTAAGTTGACATTTCCTAATTATTAAATCGAACAAATTTTTTTTAATTCGAGTAAATATTAATGATGCCTTTTATGAAAAAATCCTGTGGATCAATTGTATTTTAATCTGTGTTCCTATTTCTTTATGATTTCCGTTGCAAGCTTAGACGTATATATACATAGTGAACTATTTTTAAAAGTCTAATTTATTTACTTTATCTCCCTTATTCTAATTCACTAAAACACAATAATTTATATCAATTTATTATACCATTTATACAATACAACAATTTATTTTCGACTGACCCTGTTTACATAAAATTTCTATTTAAATGTAAATACAGTTATTCTGGAATCACGGCGAAGATTCGATGAACTTCCATCAAAAGCAGGTTTTTTATATCGGAGGGGGACCCATCGTTTCAGGTAGGTATTACCTGGAATTTCTGCCAACAGGTAAAATCTAGAGCATATCAGAATTAGAACGAATATTTATGAGACATATTTATTGTAATATTACCCCCCTCTTAAAAGATGGTTCCTCCTGGAACCTTGTCGAGACTGGAACTGGAACGGTATGCTGGTATCGGCAACTGAACCCTCTTTTACAACTTCCAGTTGTATAAAAATGACAAGGAACGGTTTTCTCTTCGCACCAGTAACTATGCGGATTGCAACAGACTAACACCTGGACTTCGGTGTCTTTGAAGAGCTCCTTCACCATATTTCGGATAACCCTCCAATCTAATTGGCGGCACTCCAACTTTTCACTACCTACTTGGCGGCAGGTAGAAAAGGTAACGTGATGCATCTTGTAGTTTTAAGGCTTTTCCGGGAGCTGGCACTTGGTATTGAAGTTCTGCAACTCGAACGAACTTCCTTCGAATGACGGATGCCAACCCTGGTGCGTCTTTGATACTGGCCGGGATGGTAAGGGCCAATGAGTAGTCATCGGGAAGCGCGAGTAGATCTTGCCTTTCTTTAGTGGTAACACCATGTCTTGCTTTACCGGTACCTCCATAGGCACCCATAAATTCCTCAAACGTGAGGTCAGACACATCTTGAACTTGGTTTACTTCCACTTCTTCATCTACGTTGTGGTCATCTTCGAAAGACGCCAGCCGGTTATGGTGTACTATCATCGGCTTTCCCCTCTGAATCTTGCTTATTCGGTAAGTGACATCATTGATCTTCTCCATAATGAGGTATGGACCTTCCCAAAACTGCTGCAACTTGGGAGAACAACCTTTTCGCTTTTTGGGATTATAGAGCCAGACTTTGTCGTTCTTCTTAAAACACCCCTTTTCGTCTTGCGTATCGTACCGTTTCTTCATTCGATCACTAGCGATCTGAAGATAGGAACGGACCGACTCATGAACATCGTCCATTCTTCTTCGTAATTCGATCACATAATCTTCACCTGCTACATCTTCTCCAGGTAGACACCCAAACTCTAGATCACAAGGTAGTCGCATCTCGCGTCCTAATAGGACTCTGGATGGTGTCTGGCCTGTCGATTCGTTAACAGCAGATATGTAGGCCATTGTGAAGAACGGAAGATATTGGTCCCAGTCTCGCTGATGATCAGACACCATCTTTGTCAAATACTTGCCAACTGTCCTATTCATCCCTTCTATCATACCATCCGATTGCGGATGATATGCTGTAGTTCTTGTTTTCTTCATGCCTAGTCTATCACATATTCCTTGCCTTCATTTTCACTTTCTGGAAATGGCCCAGCAATGTCCAAAATAGGAATATTAAAAATCTTAAAAGCTTTGAGATGTGGTGCTACCGCCGTATAATAAAAATAAGTTGGGTGGATAAAATTACAAATGAAGAGGTAATACGCAGAATAAATAACGATCCAGAAGTTATTATGAATATAAAAAAGAGAAAACTTGAATACTTAGGCCACCTGATGAGAGGACAAAAGTACATGTTCCTACAAAATATAATGCAAGGAAAAATCCAAGGACGCAGAAATCCAGGCCGTAGAAGAATGTCCTGGATGAGAAATTTAAGAGAGTGGTTTGGCTGTACCACTAACGAATTATTCAAAACAGCAGTTAATAAAATTAGAATCGCCATAATGATATCCAATCTCCGATAGGAGAGGCACTCAAAGAAGAAGAAGTATCTACTAAACTTGGTGCTGTTATTAAATGCTTTTTCAAGGTCTCAAAGGCATTTTGGTAGTCTGTATTCCAGCGGTAATCTCTTGCTTCCTCTGTGAGTCGCGTTAATGGCTTAGCGATATCTGCAAATGATCTTAATAAACCTCCGGTAGTAAGTACATAGTCCAAGAAAACTTCTCACTTCATGTTTGTCAGTTAGTTCTGGCCATTCCTTAATGGAATCGAGTTTTCCCTTATCCACGGCCACTCCTTCTTTACTGCCTGTATGACATGTTTACCATCAATTGGACAGCTTTATGTCGATTAAAAACGTTTTCTAAATTATTCAGATGGTCTTCAAATGTCTCGACCAAGACGATTATGTCATCTAGATAAACCAGGCATGTTTTCCAAGATAACCCTCTCAGCACATTTTCCATAAGCCTCTCAAATGTCGCGGGAGCATTACAAAGTCCAAATGGCATAACGTTGAATTGCCACAATCCAGATCCTGTGGTGAAGGCTGTCTTTTCTTTATCTACCGGGTCCATTTCTACCTGCCAGTATCCAAACTTCAAATCCAAAGTAGAAAACAATTTACTTCCAGCCAATGTGTCGTCGATCCGAGGCAGAGGATAACTATCTTTCTTGGTAACGTTATTCAGCAAAAGGCAATCCACACAGAACCTCGTCGTTCCATCTTTCTTCTTAACCAGGACCACCGGAGAGACCCATGGGCTCGTAGAAGGTTCTATCACCCCACCCCGTCTTTGTTCATTTCCTAAACAATCGTAATAAACCAATAATAGACTGAGCAGTCTGTGGAGCGAAGTGACGACAGCATCTTTTAAGTGGGGAGAAGTAGACGATGGTTTGCAGTTGCATGTTGCATCGTTTTGCTTGCTTATAAGTACAGTTTGATAAATCAAACAAGTCTCAAACATTATACCATATGTGTGTTGCCATATCGTCAATTATTTCTTACTCTTACATCTAACTTTTAAAATCGGAAACTAACCTAATGTATCAATTAAAAAAATCAGAAAGAAACAAAAACATATTAGTTTAGATACATTACCGTAAAAACTGCATAAACTTTAAAGATACATACACACTGCATTTAAAAAAGATACATACACACTGCCGAGCATAACATTAGGGTCTCCCCGTAATTTGAATTTATTTTAGAAATTATTATTCTTTTTTAACTATGTTCGGTTGTAACATAGTTTACCAATAGATAGATTGCTTTAAAAAAATTGTTGCTGTTGCTCTTTTGATAAGCGTTTGAGGTAAAAAGGGCCCCTTAGCCTATTTCCTAAAAACCATTATCAGCATAGTTTTTGTTTCAGAGGTTTTAACGTCAATTGTAAATTGTTTGTATAGTGTTGCCACTTTAATTGTAATTATCTGTTGTGGCGGCTTTAGAAGATAAAAGATGGCGAGTAAGCCTCTCGAGTGTGCAACGAGAATGGTGGTGGTACGAAAAGACTGGTCTACTTACTTGAAGACCTGGTTCACGTCGGGGCAGAATTACAACAGCTAGCTATGACCGCTTTGTCGTTTTTACTGCTTTAAACTTACAATTTTTTTAGTGCTGTACCACGATGTGACTACACTATCTCGTGGACTGTTTTTTTATTACGTTTAAGTACGCCGTACTTAAGTTCCCGTGTTATTAATTTCGTCTGTGTGTTGTTTATGTTGAAAGTACGTAATACTTCCCACAAAAATAACTGCGTATTAAAGAGACAGCTGCACTTGCTTTCCCCCAAGTACCTAATAAAAATGTTTAAATGAACATTTTCAAGTTATCTGGAAAAAAGGGTATAAAATACCCATACTTGATTCATTATTAATTTTGTTGTTGCGATGGCTGGTTACATTAAACTTAGTTTTTTTTTAAATACGGTTGTGTGGTCGGGAACTCGCATTTAAGCGATAAGTCTGGTTTATTCTTGTGTTTTAATCATAAAATATAGAAATATTTTCTTATCGTCCTAGAGTTCTTTTACTGGGGCTGACATTCAGTAGCCGTTCTCATTAATATGTCACCACATCTGCAGTTTTAATGTCAGACTACTTACGAAGCCACCCTTTGTCAATATATCATCAATATTCCTTTAAGACCCACTGCCCTTTTTTTGCTTAGAAACACATGCAAAAAATTTGAATAAACGTGGAATCATGTACCTTTATGATTTTTGAGTCCTTTATAGATTAGATTAGATTACGTGAGGTCGTTAAGGCCGTGCGGCCTCACCGCAATTCGACCTATACAGATCTTTTGTGCATACCTTAATCTAGTTAAACTCTAGAATGCCAATACTTCTGATGAAGTTGATTAGCTTCCTAGGTCACTTGTTTCCTATGTCAGAGCACGCCAGACTCCTCTCCTAGGAATTTTAGTCGTTTGCAGAACAGTGCTACGCAGTTGCATAGTATATGTTCTGCCGTTTCTTTTTCATTGTGACAGAAACGACAGTTCTCACTATCTGATTTGCCCATCTTCTTGAGATGATATCTCAGAGGGCAGTGACCAGTGAGAAGGCCAGTGACCATTTTAATATCTTTCTTACTCATTTCGAGAAGGCGGTTTGTTGCAGTAGGCGACACTTTTATGAGCCTTTTTGCTTGCCTTTGTCCTGGTGTGTTAGACCAATATGATCTTAGTTGATTGAGTTCCCAGGTACGGAGTTCCTCTCTGATGTGGCTTTTCGATAGTCCACAGAAGGGTTCCGGACCCTGGAATGGGGTATTAGCTCCTTCTTTTGCGAGGCTGTCAGCTTCCTCATTTCCTGCAATTCCCTTGTGACCTGGCACCCACATCACAGTTACATTGTTGCGTTCCGCCAGCTTCTTGAGAGATTGTTTACAGTCCCAAACCAACTTTGACTCACATGTAAATGACTTTAGAGCCTTTAAGGCGGCTTGGCTGTCTGATAAAATAAAGACTTTTGCCCTACGAGTGTCTCGGTTGAGACATTCTTGGGCACTTATGTCTATGGCATGTATTTCTGCCTGGAAGATAGTTGGGGCGTTTCCAAGAGATTTAGATAGCCTGAAATTGGGCCCAGTAACTCCCACTCCTGCCCTTTCATCTATCTTAGATCCATCCGTATACCATACGAGTGAACCCTCTTCCACTTTTGGCTCAATTTCTTCACCCATTTGGTGGTTTTTTATGACCACTTCAAAGGGTGTTTCACAGTCGAATTTGACTGGCATAGCATCTGTCGGCATGTTCTTAGAATCCAATGGAATTTCTTCCACGATTTTCAGGTGGCCAACTAGATCTCCAGGTTTCATTATTTGTGTCTGTCGCAGTTTTAAGGCGGTAGTTACTGCCTCCCTCCTTCAGAACTGCAAGGGAGGAAGGTTCAGCATCGCCTCTAGAGCTGCAGTGGGGCATGTTGACATTGCCCCTGTGATTCCCAGACAAGCTAGCCGCTGCACTTTTTGCAGCTTGGCGTTAGCTGTTGTTTGTTGTGTTTTTGGCCACCATACGAATGATGCGTATGTGACCATGGGCATAATTATTGTTTTATATGACCACAGAGTCATTTTCGGTTGTAGGCCCCAAGTCTTTCCAAATGTCTTGCGGCAGGTCCAACTTGCCACCAAAGCTCTGGATAAAATTTTTTCAATATGACTATTCCAGTTGAGTTTTTGATCTAGGGTTACCCCCAGATATTTAACTTCCTTGGAATAGTCTAATGTGATGCCATTCATAGTTGGAGCCTGTAAATTGTATTTACGTCTCCTTGTGAAAGGTGTCAAAGTCGTTTTACTGGGGTTGACACTTAAGCCCTCCTTCGAGCACCAGCTTTTAATTTCGTTAAGAGCAGTTTGCATGAGACTAGATATAGTCTGGTCATGCTTGCCCCTAATTGTAACAACTAGGTCATCTGCGTAACCTTGGGTTATAAAACCAGAATCATGCAGCTTAGTGAGGAGGTCATCCACAACCAAAGACCACAGTAGAGGCGATAATTGAGTCCTTTATAAATCTCTAGTTAAAATTTATTGTAGCCCATTAGCTTTATTATGTATTTTTTGGCTTTTAGGTCAATCTATTATCTTTTTATCATCTATCTCTTATCCGTATCCTTATCCACCTCAGCGACGCTCCCGATAATGAACAACGATCTCTTCGTATTGTTCTTGTATACCATCGGCTTATTACCACCTGATCTTCTCTTGATCTGCTTTTCATTACAAGTATGGTATGGTGTATAGGAAATACTTGCTTACTAGGAAATACTATAGGAACAACAAATTAAACTACGGTAAAATTAAACTAAACGTAAAACTGGTGACAAAAAGCAGGACGATGCATTTAAAAATACTGAGCAAATAATGAATTTGTGTTTTGACTTACCCTGTATAAGATTTAAAGAGTACAGTAGACGCCCTCTTAACCGACCATGACGGGACCTGGCCATAGGTCGGATAATCAAAAAGTTGGTTAAACCGAAAATCTTTAAAACCTCCCTCAGAAAGGTGTTACATAATGTAACTTTATTAAATATATATATATATATATATATATATATATATATATATATGTTATGATCTATAAACAAAAAAGTAGTATGTACACACATATATGTAATTAATTATGTATATAGTATGTACATAATTATGAATGTAAAATGTACTAGAAAAAGTCTATGATTTTCTTTTGTTTTTTATGTTTCATTATTTTCTTGAATGCGTAGTCACGCCACTTTTTAATGAACATTACATCTGCCGCTGTTGGCATATTTTGTTGCTCAATGTACAGTTGTAGAGCATTTCTCGCATCAGCATGACTAACAGTATTGCCTTCTTCATCTTCAACCTCTTCGTTTGCTTGATTTTCGTGCGTAACAGCCTGTACGATTTCTTCATTTGTCTAATTGTCTTTGGTCAAGTCATCATCAGCTCCAACAATCCATTCTTGACAATCCTGCAGTTGAAGTTGTGACAATTCGAGTCTGAGAGTTTTTGCAACTCATTCATCAAAAATGCAATATCATCTGGCTCTTCCAAAGGAGTTTTATCAGGATTAGAACTGGATTCAATCACTTTTTTTATGTTGGATCATGCTTTTCTCCAAGATTTTACGACTGTTTAACTTCGGATTTCATTAAAAGCTTTAGATACCATCAAAATAACGTTTTCAATGTTTGTCTTTCAAAGAAGCGATTAGGCCTTTGTTATCTAACTCCATTTTAGCCAAGATTTCTGAAAGTAGTTTTTTTCGTATAGCGCCTCTTAAGACATTCGATGACTTCTTGATCCATTAGTTGGATGACACTTGTTACATTTTATAAAAGAAAAATACATTTATTCCAGGCTCCTTTTCACTCTGAATGTTTTCAGGATCTGTTGGTGCATTATCCAACACCAAAATAGCCTTGAGTGGTAACTTTAAGCTTGTTAAATATTTTGCTACACTACGACAAAATTCATTGATGAACCAATCTTTAAACACGTACGCGTCCATCCAGGAATATGTTTGATTTTTATACCACACTGGGAGTAAAGAAACGTTAACCTTTTTGAATTCTCGAGGATTCTTAGCCTTTCCGATTACGAGCAGGGCGACCTTATGAGTTCCAGAGGCATTACAATAAACAGCAATAGTAATTCTCTCTTTGTTCATTTTGAATCCAACAGCTGATTTCTCATTACTGGCAGCAAATGTTTTTACAGGCAATCGCTTGAAGTTAGTCCAGTCTCATACATATTGTATACCTGTTCGGGCAGTAATTCTTCCTTTTTAATTAATTATTGTAATTTATATTTCCATTCGTCTGCTGCAGTTGGATCAGCTGACAATTTTTCTCCGAACATGCTTAAAAAATGAACACCGTGACGTTTTTTCCAGCATGCCAACCGCATTATCGCTCGCATAAATTTTTCTCCATTATCAAACTTACCATGTAGTATCTCAGCATTTTCTTTTAAAATCGGTCACTTATAGGCGTACCTTTACGACGCTCTCGCATAAACCATAACCTTAATGCATCGTCTACACGTTTATTAATTGGTTTCTTTAAAATACACCTAGTCAAGAGGACTTAATCATACTAGATTTGAGTGTAATAATCTTGAATGGTTTTCTTGTTTCGGCTCCAGTCTTTTACGGTTGTTACTCCTACACCGAATTCGTTACTAATTGATTTTACAGAATGACCTTTTTCAAGCCGCCCTATAGCATTTAACTTGTCTTTCATTGACACTACAACACGTTTTCTTTTAATTCCACTCATTTCGAAAAGTTCACTATGTACATAACAACAGTATGTACATATGTATAGTTAAGTTTGTAACTTATACAAAAACAAACTACGTCGTTTAGACTCTAATACGGCAGCGAGAGATCGACTAAACTCATCAGTGGCTAAGGTACATGGTGGTCTGTGGTCGTGGTCGTCGGTCGTACGGTCCGGTGCTAACGGGAATAAAATCCAATCTAAAAATAGTATCATCCAAAAGGAGTAGGGTCGGTCGGTTAAGCCGACGGTCAGTTAAAGGGAGGTCGGTTAAGAGGACGTCTACTACTGTATTAAGCAAATCCATTATTTATATGAATTTTGACAATCATTTATAAACTATGGCTACAACACCTCGTTGCTTTTTTGTACCCGTTTTGAATTATACAGGGCGTTGAACTTGTTACGATTTTCATTGAAATTTCGTTATAACTTTTTAAAGGCCCTGTATAACATAAAACCACTTGTATTCTTATAACTAGGAAGTGCATCGGATTTTAAATTTAAACTAAAATACAAAGTGTTTCATTAATAAAACATATTATCTTTGATGCGATACAGTATTATGGAAGACCTTGTATATTATTTGTAATTCATTTTAAAATACGAAGCATACAGTTAGTACATCATATTTCTGTAGATACCTATATTTTTTGGTATCTCCTATAATAAAAGATATAACGGACTTTGTGACTAAAGTTGATCACTCATCTCTGCAGTTCGTAGATTTTGGTACGATTCTTATCGTATCGTTTATGATAAAATATATCACTTTAGTATGAACGGTGCCGAATCGTATTCAAAGTTTAACAAATATTTTCTAGGTTGCCCATGGGAATATGCGTTAGAAGCAGCCAGTTTACACCCAGCTAAAGTCTTAGGAATAGACGATAAAAAAGGACGCCTCAACGCAGGTGCAGATGCAGATTTTATTGTACTAGATAGTCATTTGCAATTACGATCGACGTGGATTGCCGGGGAAAAAGTTTACGATAATCTACGACCCGATCACCTGTAAAGATATTTTAACAAATTTAGTGTATAGGAGTTCATGAACGTAAACTATTAAATGTTGAACGTGTGCCGAATGTGTTGGTCTAGAATGTTTAGTTTTACAATTTTATATACAAGGATATAGACTGAAAAAAAATAAAAGTTATCATTTTTTCTATTCTATTTTGTAAAAGGTGAATCATCACGTCATCGCTTTATGGTTTTAAAAGAATTCTTACAACTCTACTCACGTTTTAGTTGTGATTCGTAATTGGGAGAAATTTTAATAATCGAAACATTTAAAATCGACTCCCGAGATTGGTTTCTACACTCCAGATGTGGCTCGTAAGTCAACAAAACGGAATAACCATATTATAGTTAAAAAAAACTTTGTCTTCAAGATTAAATACATGATTTAATTTATTTATCGATAAAATATAATTGCCATACTGTTACATAAATGTTCAGTTTAAATCTGTGTTAGAATTCAAAATCATATTTTCGAATAAATCGGTTTTTGTTATTTTTGAACACTGTCCTTTCTGTTTCAAACAGATTATATTACATTTTATTGCCTGTCTAAAAACTTAATTATTTCTAAATGGCTACTATTCTTTCAATTGCTTCATACAAACTACAAGTGTAAGTCCAGAGGAGTCATATTTCTTTCTATATGCAATTGACCTCAGTTTCATTATATATAATTGGTTAATTAGGAAATACGGTAAAAGTATATTCTTATCAAATAAATTATTGCGATTGTAAAGTTAATGTAGACATGTAATTGAATTACATCTACATACATTTCTCAACCATATTACGTATTTTACTATCAATAAGTATTTCAATAAAAACTATTATAAATACAAATAATATTTAACACAACTTTATTAATTTGTATTCCTATATGACGTATAATACTCAGATGTGAACCAATTAAATATAATGCATTTGGTTGTATAACTGGTTGCATAACATGGGTTTTATAATACGTTTGAAAAGGTTATTTCATAGAATCAAAAAGGGATTCGAGTCATTTAACTAACTTTATATATAACTTTATATATGAAAATCCCTAGTTTTGTGCCATGATAAAATATTAATTTGTGTTTTTTCATGTACCTTTCTGCAATAAAATTACAGACTCACTCCATTAAAAAATTTATTTTCATGTTCCACATTATAACACATTACAGCATATATTGCTAAAACACTAAACATTGCTACTAGTTACTATCAACACTTATTTTAATGATTCTGCTCTAAAAAATTTATAATATCTACATAGAAATCTTCAAATTCATGGGGAACGTACTTTCCAGCTTTCTTAAGGTCCTCAATTTTTTCTTTCTTTAAAGGTAGCATTCGAGAAGTATAAGCTTGTGCTTTAGGGAGCTGAATGGTTTGTGGGTCAACTTTACTAACATTACAATTACTATAGTAGTAAGCAGCATTATCATCAGCATTGAGTGTATGAATAAACTCCGATGTTTTAGTATTACCTTTGTTGTCAAAAGAATATTCAAAGTAATGATACTTTGACTTATTGAAATATTCTCGCTCTCTCTATGAGAGAGCAGCACTCTCAGTTGAACAGACCCTCTTCTTGTATACTTGAGGCCACCAATTATCAAAATCGATTATACTTCCTGTGTCTGAGTTTAACAGTATTTTTAGATTTGCGGTTAGCAGAGCAATCAATTCACACAGCTGATATATCGTGTATATTCGGCTGCAATGTCTAATAGGGCATTTTATGATACTAAATTTCCTGTCACAGGGCAAGAATGAATGCCCTCTAAGAAGGAAGACATGTTTAATTGTTTTGAACCGGCCGTTGATAGTAAGAGTTACGAGGACCCGAATCAAAGTATGATTTTTATTCTGACCCGGACAATTGTCAGAAAATAAATGAAGTTCAGTTACTGAATCTGGAAAACTTTCTTCAATGTAGTTTACAAGAAAAGAAGCTACATCATTTGCTCCTTTTTTCTTGGCCTTCGTGATATAAGTAAAACTGAGTATCGTCGGTTTTTAAATTGTAAACACAAAAACTGTTCACAGTCAACTGTCGAACTTAGTACATCTCGTGCACTGGAACTTTTGGTAAATCTACATTTTGCATAAAATCAAAAACCACACACATTTTGGTTTGATAATTCTTAAGAATTCGCCAATGATGAATAAAATCGTGTGGCTCGACGTTTGTGCGCCATTAGTTCTGCCGCAGAAACCTTTTTTGCAGTTTTATTAGGTATAGGCCGCTGGCCCAATCTAAAACTAAAGTTTTCCTTAATGTAATTATGATAAAAATTATACTTAATATTACTTTCAGGATACGTTTCACGGAATAGTTCATGCATTTTTGAATTGACAAACATTCACTTAGGTAAAGAACATCTTTTATAATGCCCTTCTTTTGTTGGAAAGGAACTTATATGATTGTGTACCTTGGCAGTGTTACTTTCACATAATTTATTACCACTTCTGTTTTTTTCTCGTAAATCTTGCAGTTTTCCAGCCAAGAGACGTTTTCTAATGTGACGAATACGCTTGTCACTTACGTCATAGAGTCTAAAGAATCCTTCCCTACAAACCGGTACCTTCCTATCTGCCAGAAGGACATGATATTTGAATGAGTGTTCCTTCAATGTAGCGTCTGGTTGACGAGCTCGATGATGTTTAACTTCTGTTAAGTCAATCATACTATACAACACACTAAAAATATTGCATTTTTCAACATCGTCAAATTGTGTACAACATTGAATATTACTTTGCAAATAATTTTACGTATAAGGTGATTTGATCCTTTTCGCTTGTTTTGGTTTTCCACCATAATCAATGTATTCTTGTCGAGAAATACGAGCACGTTTTACAACGTTTCTTTCATATTGTTCTACATTAGGCGTTACGTTTCAGGCATCGTGAATGGCTGTCATTGTCACTATCACTCATTATTGAAAAAAAATTAAAATGTTTTCAAATTAACCAATATCGCCTGTAATTAACAATAATTAACTTCCTAATAGTTCCCAATAGTATTACACACTGCAGCATAACCTCAAAAAATAATAATATCAGATGAGTAGACAAGATGCAGGTTTGCCAACTTGCTACTTTAGTACCGAAAAGTACCTCAGTCACTGACTTGGTTCTTTTCTGTAGTAAACGAAAAGTACGCCATACGATTTCTCTATTATATTAAAATAAATCGGGTTCCTTTTTACTACAAACGATGTGTCTACCATCATAGTGAATGAATCCACTCTTAATACAAAATCACAAAAAACTGACCAGGGTTCCTTTCTTAAATAAGCTGTTTATTTTAATAAGGAAATTGGCACAATAATTTTTTTCAATATAATAATATATAATTATATTATACATCATTGGGTGCAGTACCAATTATCGTATTAACATAGACCACATCGAAATAACTATTGGCAAATACCTTAAGTATTCTTGTTTTGGGCTGATATTATTCAAATACTTGAACAAAACTACTGAAACTTAATTTGTTTTATGAGTCAGCCTCTATCGACTACTTATAATGATCGAATGGGATCGATTCATCTAAAATCTAAGCAATATGCAAATCGACTAAAAATCTCACAATTACGAATCCCAATTTGCTGTTAATATTTTTATATACATTTTGTACTTTTATAGTATTGATTATTTCGGCCTTGATATAAAAATATCAGTTTTATCCACCTTTTCCTTCATATATTTGCCTAATTTAATAGTTTTTTGCACAAATGATCCCAGATAATTGAAGTTGTTCATTTTCATTATATTATTTTGTTTCTGTATTTAAAAAAGTTTAGTTTTCAATAGGTGGTATGCATACAGGAAGAGCATGATACAAAGAATAACAGGTATGATACTCCCGAGCGCGAAATTGGGACGAGTTCGCGCATTACGTCACAATGATAGTGATTTTAAATATTTCCCGTAAAAACATCAGCAATCGGAATACAATTAACTTTTAATGAGCAATAAACAGTCGTTTTAATAGATTAATAGAGTTTATATTGAACTATTTCGGATTTATTGAATTGAAATTGTGATTGTGAATTGAAAACATTAATAAATAATACAGTGAAAAAAAATTACATCTGTAAAATAAATTTGTGAGTTTTATTTAAAACTTTTTTTGTGTTCTTCGCTTTTTAATCCTAGAAAGGTACCCTCCATAAATTTTATGAGCTCGCATTTGATTGTCTTGTCTTATTTGTCGTCAGTGTCAAGGAGGGGAGGAAGCCTTCATTTAGTTGCACGTAAATAGAAGAAAATAATTGATCATTAATTATCTGCACTAAAATCGGAAAACAAATCACAAGGTTTTAAGTTCTTCTTCTTCTTCGCGTGCCATATCAGAACTATCCGACGTTGGCGATCACCATTGCGAAGGCTTCTCGATCTTCTGTAATATGGAATAATTGTCCTGCATTTGGTATATGAGTACATTCACGAATGTTTTTTAACCAAGAAACTTGTTTTCTTCCTACACCTCTACGGCCCTCTATTTTGCCTTTAAGGATCCTTTTGGAAAACCTTTCCTGCCTTTTAAGTTAATTTATGGATAAACTTTTCATCATCCTTCAGCTTGGGCCCTTCCTTTGAGTCATATTGCAGCAATCCATGCTGAAAATTTCTTTTAAAGTCTTCCGGCTTAAAATGTTTGGAACAAATTCTTGAGGATTTAGTATTAAATTTGTCTTCGCGGCAACATTGAATAAACCACAGTTTTTCCACTACTGAGTCCTTGGAAAAACCATCTAACAGATTCATCGGCACCTCTTGTCTGATTATCACTCAAACAACTAGCTACGGCACAACGCATTTTATGTTTAGCTTATAAACTATTCCTATCCAAACCCCCCTAAAAAATACAAGAGGGGCATGAGTTTGGTTTAGTATTAAGTACTGACTCAATAATAATGAAACATACCTTATTTACAACTTCTAAAGGACCAAAATATTGTCCATATAAAGTAGGTATACCTACAAAGCCACTATCACTCAAAAAACTCGCATAAAGAGTTTAAAATATTCTTAATAATAATTCTTTTCACACTAAATTGAATACGAATTAACTTAAATCTCACAAAAACACTACAAACTCTTCTACAAGCTTACAAAAAAAGCCAAAAGTTAAAACATTGATAAAATTTCCATTATAAACAGATATATTACAATGACGGCCAATCTCATTGTGACGTCGACGGGAGGGGATCATCTGA